GTAAATGGTGTAAAAATTTGTTCTATATATCTTAATATATAAATTGATTAATTGTTGAGTGTAAAGTTTTGCTTGATGTAGATTTTAATACTTAAAAAATGTTTAACACAACATCTAAATATTAGAAAATATGTTTAACACAACATCTAAATATTAGAAAATATTATCATACGTTTATCAATTGTTTAATTAATCAAAATACAAATAAAGTTCACCAAAATTACAATAAAAAATTATCCAAAGCCAAAGTCATAATATGAAGTATAGATCTTAAAAGTAAAAATCAAAATATTTGATTTGTCTCAAGATAATTTATATTTTTTTAGTTTGAAAATACGAAACGGATCTATATAATATTGTAGTTTTGTTTTGTTCGGTTCGGTTCAATTTTAAAACATGAATATTCTCTAGTTCTTTAGTGCACTTAATTAATTAACTAGTAATTGACCCGTGCGATGCACGGACTAAATATTTGTAATATTATTGTAAAACTTCATATGGTAATAAAATTTTGTTTAATGAAAAACTTATATTCATATAAGTTTATTAATTTAATTAATAAAAATTAGAGATTTACATGCAAGAAAAGTAATAAACAATTACTCATTTTGTAAAAATTTAAATGCAAAGAATTTTAAAATTACAAAACAAACAATATAATTACTATTTTTCTAATAAAAGTATATTTTTAAAAAATATTACAATAATTCAAGATTATTCAAACTATAATATTAAAGACGTAATTTTTAGTTCGAATAAACTAATTCCTGCTCTCTATTTTTCGATTCTAAACAATTGAATTTAGTTGCTCACACTTTAGCTTCAAAAGCCTCCACTCAGGCTAGTTCTTTGTACTGGGATTCTGTCCCTCCTGACTTTGTTTCTTCACTTTTACAGTTGATGGTTTTTGGGTTTTCAGGCCCAAGGAGGTCCAAAACAACCTTCGGCTGGAGGATACACCTTTCAATAAAAATGTATGCCTATATTGGGAATAATGCTAGCGCTCGGGATCTCTTTGGTATTCTCCCCTCTCCGGGTATTCAATCGTCTGTCCTTTTACAAGAGTGGAGGAGCCTTTAAATAGTGGCTCCTCCTCTACCGACTTGAAGGCCCCTAATAGCCGACTTCAAGACTAATCAAGATATGGAGCCGTTGGACGCCATTACTTGGTCGACCAACGGCTCTTCCAGGCTTGTAACAGCCTGACCGAGTCCTGCTTTCAATGCCCTAACGGCTCCCTTTTAAACGAGCCTCTTCAATGCTCTCAACGGCTCCTTGAACCGAGTCTTTCCCTGGGCTTGGGCCTTGGTCGACTCCTTGTCTCAGCCTAAGCTCCCACTGGACTCCTCTTTAGCAGTTCTGAACCGGGCCCCGTGCTTGGGCCTGGACCGACTCCAGGGCTCTGCCCAATTGCTCTTCGGGCTCCCCGGACACTGGCCCACTTCTCCTGTCTCGAACCATTTTCTTTGGGCCCCTATCTCTTGGGCCGGGGTCCTTACCCCAACTAGTCCCTCACTTTTTCATACCCGGTACGCTAGCCTGGCACAAGTACAAAACAGGGCATAGGAGACTGGCATTTAGCTACTGTTTTTAAAAAAAAAGTAGTGTATTCTTAATTCAAAAATTCGCGGTGGCAATTTCGTAATAATTGAAATAACGCTTTAATATTTCGCTACTGTTTCTAGTTAAAACAGTGGCAAAATAGAAAAATAAAATGCCACCGTTTCTCTTTGAAACAGTGGCGGAATTTATTTTTTTAAAAAAAAATTAAAATTCATTTCAAAAAACAATAAAAAAACCCTATCCCTGCACCTTATGCAACAATAACAAATTGAATGAATTGAAAATTAAAAACTTTCGATCTCAGCTCCTCCGGCGAACGGCGAACGCCGCCACAGCCATCTTCAACGGCGAATGCCGCCGCAGCCATCTTCAACGGCGAACGCCTCCACATCCGCTGAACGCCCTTTCCTCCGCCACAGGTGCGGACGCGACGACCGTCACTGCCTCCGCCCGCCATAACCACTGTCAGTCTGTCACTGTCTCCGGTCGCCATAGCCGCCGTCACCGTCTCCGCTCGCCACAGCCGCCGTCACCGTCTCCGCTCGCCACAGCCACCGTCCATCTGCAATAACCACGTTAGTTTGTTCTTCACGGAGATAATAATCTAGATGTGCAAAGTGTTTGTTCTTAGACATGCCTTTCTTTCTCTTCTTCCAATTCCCTATTTAACAGATTCTATGAAGATAAATTGCTCTGATATTATAAATCACTATAGAACTTGATGTTTTCCCCTCCTTAAACCATGTAATTAAATGTTGAGTGGACTCTATTTGGCTGAACCAGATTCTATATACGCTAGGTGGACAAGAAAATCTTCAGACAGCCAAGAAATATTATGCATCAACTGTAGACTTAACTGGTGGCAAAAATACTAGAGCCCTTTTTGGTATATGCTTGGTGAGTGCATTTTATCTCTCAAGTGTGTTTCTTTATGCATAATTGCTTTTTATTAGATCCCAGTTTGTTTAAATCCATGTCAATTTGAGGTGTTCTTGTGATTTTCCATTGATCCAGCCTATAGTCTCTGAAGACTGTAGAGTTTTGTTAATAAACTTCATCTAACTAGTGTTATTAAAACCAAACTGTAGATTGATCCGTGAATATTAACTTTATGTTTCTACGGAATATTAACTGTATTTATTCATTTTTTAAGATAAGTCCATAAAGCTGCCCTGAAAAGGGTCTCTTTGTTGGCCATTTGGAAAAAAGATGATGAAAAGAAAAGGTGTTATAAGGAGGTCAGTTTAAAAAGCTAAGTGAAAAAAAGAATGAATAGGAAGTGAGTTGAAAAATGGATATGAGGGGGATATAAGTTAGGTGGATAGTTTTGGTTATTGGAAGAACACCCTAAGGATATTCAGTTGAGGGGTGTTGTATTTAATGTTAAAGTAATAATAAACCCCAATGATAGGTTGCTTGGCTTGGCAATCTTGAGGGGTAAAAGAACTTGGTGAACTTGCCTAGAAAACTGAGAAGCTGAGGCTTGTTTGCTAGGATTAGGATGTTTGGTTTATGAAGCTGTCCAGCTGAGACCTTCATCATGGCACTCGGATACTTTAACCCAATGATGGGCTGCTAGCTGGGCAGTCTCTGAGGGTTACAGCTTGTTGAGGGTACTGGCAGTAGAAATATTGTGCAGCTTTTGTTTGGTGGATCTACATATGTAGAGATGAAGCCATTTAATTGTTTTGCAGGTAGGTGGAAGATTGAAGATTGATGTTGAAGATCCTAGGAGTTTACACTACTACAGAATTGGACATATAAGTAGTACTTTGCACTACACCTTCAAGGTGAAGGTGTCTTGGTGTCTTCGTGAGTACATGGTACAATCTTAAGTATGCTTGTGTGTCAAAAATTACAAAACCTGAGAATTCCATTGTTTATGAATAGAAATGCAGTAAAAAAGACCTTACATTGCAGGAAAAAAAAAAGAAAAAAAAAAAACAGTGAGTAGTTTTAAACACATGGGGACCATTTCTTAGTTTGACATATTGTAGGTAATTTCTTATGCACTTCCTTAGGCAAGTCCATTCCATCAAACCCTTCTATCTATTTCACATGGAAATCATTCTTTTAGAGGATAGTTCTAGTGATGAGAGTTGGTTGATTTTATATTGCTAGTCATCCTTGGTTTTTCTTTACTTCTCTATTTCAGGTTGCCTTTTTGGCATTTTGCTTCTTCAAGGGGTATTATAATAATAATAATAATAATAATAATAATAATAATAATAGTAATGATTATTATTAAATTCATAGTAATAAGAGTTAGAAAAAGGTAAGAAAAAGAAGAGGTTGATATGAACTCATTTGTTGATGAATGAAGGCTTTTGAGGTGTAAAAGAGTTGTGGTGTTCAGCAAATGAAATGGCAAAATCAGATACTATACTTAAAGCCCTTAGCTTTAAGGATCTATCAGGAATGAAAAGTGAAGGGGCAAGCCAAGCCAAGCTTCAATTCTGTTCTTGTTCAATCTGCAATGGGATCTCATCTATCTGCTTTTATCTTTTACATTATTCTATTTCATTTCAGTGCAGTGAATGCTAGCTGCCTCACAAGTTAAGATAAGCAGAATATAATTAAAGTACATGCATGCATATATGAAATGGAAACCTCTGGTAGGGGTAACATTATTACAGTTTATCCTACCAAGATTATCACCACTCATTATTACAGTTTATCCTACCAAGATTATTAATGAGAATCTGGGCTATTATATAAGGCCTTTGTCAAATTGACACTATTAAAATTGTTTTTGTAGTGTAGTTAAAACATGAGTTCATATCAATCTCTTCTTTTTCTGTTGGAGTTACTGGTCAATAGTTATACATTTTGTTTTCTGCTTCCTTGTATAGGGAAATTAACTGGAGGGATTTTAAAGTAATGTTTTTTCTTTGATGTCAACTTAACTTTGACTTGATGTTTCTTTTAGGTGGATCTAGATCTTGGGAACTATGAGCATTCCTAGATAATAAGCTGACGCGGGACAACAATATAACTACTGGGAAAATTTACCAGGCATGTATTTACATTCAAAGCGATTTTACACTGCCCAGCACCTAATGTTTATTGAAAAATCACATTATATTCTGAAGCAGAATCAGTTTCCATTCAACATAAGCTTCAGAGCAGCCCACATATCCTGCTTTGGATTGTTATTGGTTTAAAAAAATCTTAGAGAACCAAGACATTGGAAGTTAATCCACTAGAGTGATTCTAAAATTTACCATCTGCCAGGCTTTGTTATAAACCTAAGATTGGTGTAGTTATCATCTTTTCTTGATAGTAATATAGAAGACTCTACCATCTTCTAGTGGATTAACTTCCAATGTCTTGTCATGTGCATTCATTCATGTGATAAAATTTAAAGAAATTGGCACTGTTTCATGTCTCAAACTAACCAATGGTTATTCTGAATGTGGCAATGACACAATAGTCGAGGAAGCCAATGGTTATCATCAAACTAACCAATGGTTTCATGCAAAGTATGTATAGAAATTGAATTTAAGTTTTAATTAGTGTGATATTATGAATAACAATAAATTGCTTAAATTAATAATATATATATGTATTTTGTAGTGCCCGATACAACCTGGAGATTATGAGTGTGGATATTATGTCATGCGATACATGTTTGGTATCGTGACAAAATATTCATCTATTGATGATTTGGATAAGGTAAGTGAATTTAAATGCAACAATGTATAGTACAGTTAAGTTATATTTTATTAATTAACATAAATTTGATTACTTAATTTTTTTTGTAGGCATTTGAAAGCGATAGTCCGTACTCCATCAATGACATAAATGAGATTTGGGAGCAATGGGCAAAATACTTCTTTTCGGAGTGCGTGCAACTTTTGTTTTATTGATAAATAGTTTTGTTTTGATAATAGTATTGTTTTGTGCATGTTTTGATGATATTATTATATTAAAGTGTAATCGAGGATATAAAGTAGTATTGTGTTTTGATGATAGTATTGTGTTCAAGTGCATTTTGTTAAAGTATTGATGATTGTTTTGTGTTAAAAGTATTGTGGTTCTATGATATTAAAATGTGGTGATATAAAGTAGTGTATTGATAGATAAATTGTGTTGTGTAGGACTTTTAACTGTAACAGGTACAAGAATTATTAAAAAAAAATAGTGGATTTAACAAAAATAAATTAAATAATTAAAATAAAAAAAAAAATCCGCGACTGTTCTTCCTTTAGAACAGTCGCCGGGATATATATTAAAACGAAAACAGTCCGCGACTGTTTCTATCATAAAACAGTCGCGGATGACCACTGAATAAAGAAAATGAAAAATAAATAAAAATAAAATCCGCGACTGTTTGACATCAAGAACAGTCGCGAATTAATACCCAATTCGCCACTGTTCCACAACAGTCGCGTAATGTCCGAGGCTTTTTGTGACGCTGGTATCTGCGACTGTTGTACAACAATAGCTAAATGTCATTTACAACAGTAGCAAATGACCAGATCTGTACTAGTGTGGGTCTGGAAAAGTAGCAACTGTCCATCGCCTTCGATCACCGTATCCACGCCTTGAATAGCCTTTTGTAACGTCCGGATCATCAGCCATTCTCTCCGGATCTCACGGTGCCGTTTGAATTCTTCTGTCTAGACTTGACACCTATAAATGGCCTCCTCCCTTCTTTCTTTCTTCCACAAGTCCATCATGGGTCGTTCTCCTCTGAAAGGAAAACGAATTGACTTTGGGTTCCCTTGGCGTCCGCTGCCTTCCAAGCGGACTCGGCCTGAAAGGGAACACAAAAAGAAGACTCCTCGCCCGGCTTCTCAGAGGTCTCCTGTCGGCGCTACTCCTTCAGCTTCTCAACCGCCGACTCCTCCTCGACGTGAGGTCGCTCCATCTTCACGCCATCTGTCGACTCCCACAACTGCCCGAGTGACTTCTCAAGACGGGTCCTTCGTTGAGGTGGCGGTTCCAGAGCAACTTACTTTCAGAATGACCTTCTCAATCCCGCTGAACGACCTGGATGGGCCAGTTACGGGCCTAATGAATGATGAGGATTACGCCCGCTACCTGGAGGCGTATCCGGATGATGAGGAGCCAATTGCGCCACCACTCATGCCAGCTTTATGGGACTCGTTCTGTCCCTCCCCACCTGGACCACCGGGGGGATTCTTTGGGGGCGACTCTTCCTCGCCCGGCGAGTGATCATATGTACCGAAGTCGGCCATAGTTCGGAGGAATCTTTTTTAGGAGCATTTTCATATTCCTTGTTATAATAAGCTCCTTGCTACTTGTATCCTCCTTTTATAATAATAATAAAAAAATGCTACTTTCTCCTTGCCTTATGTTTTGTCGTGTTCTGTTGCGTATCCATCCGGACGACTGGTCAAGGAGTCGGTCACATCATCAGACTCTTTTTCAGTCTGACACCTGCAAGATTCCCCATATCTTGGGCGAATCCAATCTTCTCTGTGTTGACGTGCGAATCTTGCTCTTCCCGAGCGGATTTGATGGAACTAATCTCTGACAGTGATTCGCGTCATCCGTCTAATCCGGCTCAGCTATGTCAGTTATAATCTCCTCCGTGATTATCGCCTAGATATTCGTCTTCACTAGGCTATATAAAGACTCTTCTCAGTTGATGCAAATCACAACACTCTTCATTTTGCGAAAACACGGCGCTATGAGTTACAGGGATGGTGATCGTCGCTGGTCCATTCGCAACAAGGAACATGCTCGACTGGAGCAGTTGAGGCAGAAGAGGCTGGCTAATGGAGGTCGTTTGGTGGGCGACTCAGCTTCAGACCCCATTGTGGTGCCTCCAGACATGCTGGACCTGATGTGTAGGGAGCCTATCGATGTGGAGATGGAGCCTGTGGTGGAGGATCCAGAACCAATGGTGGAAGAAAAGTGGGAGGCTCCTCCTCTCTTTGGTGTTGCCATGTCGCCGAGCGCTCTGGAGAGGCCCTTGTAAATGATCGATGACGGGAAGCCAGCCGTGTATCTGGACGAAATGCCTGAGCCAGAGCCGAGTCCTCCGCCTTTCCGCTCTCAGTACCTCCTGGAAGGCCCTCCGACTGCTCGCCCGTCGACAGAGAAAGAAGCCAAGCCTTGAACCGTTTTCCTCTTGTAACTTGCATCGGCCGAGTCCTGGGCCTTGTAATCTTCGTACTTATTTAAATAAACTGTGTGCTTTTGTGTCCGACCCTACTTTTTCTTATTATTTGTTGCCCGACCTCTGATCTATGGGACTGATTCCTAGTATTGCTACGGCGAGACCCTCTTGGCAAGAGAGTCGCCGAGTCTGCTTGCCGACCTGGCGACCGGAGTCTCTTCGTGAACTTGGCTGATATCATCTGATGGGCCGGGTTCTACCGGGTTGTTCTAGAAGTTTCTAGCTTGTACCTCGTGGGCCCAGAGGCCATGGCCTATGATGGGCTTCCAGCTTAGCAGGCCGGGTCACTGACGTCCGACCCTAGCCTAAGGCAGACGCGCCGTCTGCAAGCTAACCCTAGGCCTGAACCGTCGCCCCGCCTTTTGAGGCATTAAATACGGTGTCTCTTCACATCCCGTCACCTCCACTTCCTCCAACGATAAGGTGACACGTGGCCGTCCTTTGGAATTCCTCCCCCTTTAAATAGCCACTTCGTCTTTCTTTCCATTCTCTTCTCCAGTCTTTCCTTTCAACCTCAACTCGAGATTCTCCGGCCACTCTACATTTCCTCCGTTCTCTCACCTAACTTAGGTAATGTCTTCTTCTTCACATTCTTCTTCTTCCCGTCGTTACTCGGTCAATAACCCGGTGGCGACTTCCCCCTCTTCTTCTTCTCCTTCTTCGTCTTCTTCTTCTCCTCCCCGTCGTATGGAACTTCCGGCGGACGTTCCATCGACGTCTTCTCTTCCTCCGACCCCCTCTTCTTCGGGGGTGGTTACTCCGATGAGCCCCGCTCCTTTAACGACAGTGGCGGCTCTGCCGGGCGGCATCAGACGGCCGCGAGGCAAGTTCGATTCAATCGTCCGTCCCTCCGGGCCACCGTCCGTCGTTAATGCGGCGGACCTGGAAATGGCCCAATACCTTCTTGGGCCTTCAACCATAGTCCTTGCCCCGGAAGGCCGACAAATTTACGACCCCCCCGAGGGTTATGTCGGCATTCACTTGCACTCGGTCGCCTTTGGCTTCCGAGTTCCTCCGTGTCCTTTCCTTTCCCTCTTTTATCGCTATTACAATTTAGTTCCGGGCCAATTAGTGCCCAATTCTCACCGACTCCTCACCTGCTTCGTCAACCTCTGCTACTGGTGGTTGTGTGAGCCGGATCTGGACCTGTTCCAGTATCTTTTTACCGTGAACAAGGTCGGCTCGCACTCGCCAGGCTTTGTTCAAGTTGCCGCTCGCCCGGGGCGACAGCTTTTCGAGGGGTTGTCCGACTCCATTAAGGACTGGAAGCTCCTCTATTTCTTTGTCCGGCCTGCTTTCTCTTCCTTCACCTTTCCGACCTTGTGGCCGGCCGCTCTATTCAAGCCTTGCTCTCGGCGTGTCGTCCCTCCCAACGATGCGGTCCTGGGCGGCGAGTTCTTGAGGGGCTTTGGGCCGTACTCCGTCAAATACTGGTCCCGAGTCCGAGCCATGGCTAAGCGTGGCTTGCTGCCGGAGGGTGCGGCCACCGTAGGTAGTCTTCGTTGCCTCTCGTTCCTCTCCTTTTTATTCTATCACATTCCGACTTGGAATACTTATGATTTTCCTTCCTTTTGCAGGTCCGTACGACTCCGACTCCTTCAATTCCGACGAGGCCGCTGAACCGACTCCAGAGATGACGGACAGAGCCGAAAAGATGAGGCGTCGGTTGACCCAGCGCACTTCCGGCACTGCTGCTGCCTCTTCCTCCCAACTGTCTCCGGCTCCAAGGTCGACTCCCCCACCACCTCGTAATGTGGTGGATTTGACTCCGTCACCCACTCGACAGCCGCCTCCTCCTCAGATAGAGAGTCCAAGCTCTAAGCGTCCGGCCGGTCAAACTGATGAGCCGACTCCGAAAAGGATCCGGCTGTGCCACGAGGTAGAGGAGGATTCCCAGATCTGGATGGGCGCCTCCTCCGTCCGCAAGTGGTGTGCTAACGTCCTTCTGCCTAAGGACGTGGCGGCGACTCATGCTCTGGGAGATGAGTACATCATCGAGGCCTCGCTGCGCCAGTCGTACCGTGTAAGTGTTCCCGACTTAATTCCTCTCATTCGTTCTTTCCTTTTATTATCTGACTCGTGGCCGTTTCACAGAACCTCACCTTCCAGATGGAGATGAGCAAGCGGCTGCAGAACTTCAGGACCGAGATGCGGTCTATGGCCCTCAAGTTACGCCAGACGGAGGAGGCCTTTCTGGAAGAGCAGGCGAAGCACCTCAAGGTGGTGGAAGTGCACAACTCCGAGATGCTGAGGGTCACCCGTTAGTGGGAGGAGGAGCGGGACAAGGTGGCGACGATCGCTACGACCTCCGTTGAGGCTTACAAGAAGTCGGCCGTCTTCGAGACGGATGTGAAGGCGGCGATAGAGGCTCGCCAAAAGGAAATCGCCAAGGAGTGGCTGTCGACGCCGGATGGTGACGAGTTCCTCCTGGACTTGGGCGAGCGTGACTATCGCCTTGGCTTTCGCGAGGCGTAGACAGAAATCCATTCTGCCTTGCTGGTCCGCGACTCCTCTTTCACTCCCGAGGGCTGGGGTCTCAAGCCCGTGATAGACGCTCTTCCGGCGACTGAAGGACCGTCGGCGACTGTTGACCCGGCAGCTCTTCCGACTGCTGCTGATCCGGCGACTCTTCCTGCAGCAACACCTCCTGAGCTCGCCGAGTCCTCTTTTCAGGCTGAAGACCCT